TATTTGATATCATTATCTTCTGTTTCAGGGGCTAAAAAGAATTGTTCTTCTGACTCTTGGGTACAATTTTACAGTGCATTAAGTTTGATCTCCCTGCAGGTAGCAGTGGAAAGAGGTGGTCCCATTCAATCTCTCCCGAGCTGCACATTCCTTCTACTTCTGTTGCATCAGATCTAACAATAACTACCCATGAGGTCACTGATGCAACAAAAGAATTTTTTTTTTGCAGGATTGAGCTTGCAGCCACACAACTGATAGACCTGAGTCAAAGGCAATGGCTGACAGAACACACTGCTGGAGGTGGTGAGGACAGGAAGCATGTGACTGCCCCTCTCAGCAAAGGACCTGCAGGTGGGTCAAATTAAGTAAGCCATGAATCTGGACCTAAGGAACTGAGAGAGGAGGTCAGAAGATTTTCTACATTAATTTTAACTGTTGACCTGTAAGCTGCTGTTACCAGCATCGACTCTGAGGGACTGAAGGCTCTGTTTTCATGGAGATGCAGGGTCTTGGAGCTTATGCAAAGCACAAGAGCCTAACAGTACCTATTGGAACTGGCTTCCTGCTTCCAGGAGATCGTGCTGGACGTCGGCTTGAATTGGAGAAAACTCAGTAACCACTCAGTGTTATTAAGCAGGTATTCTGTACTGCGGCGCTGGGCAGCACGGGGGATATAGCTCCTTCCGTACATGCGCGCCCAAGCGTTAGGATTCTTGCCTTATATTTACAGCTTTTATACATATTTATTACATTTCTAAGAAAAGGTCGGGTTATTCTAATCACTTCCAGGAATTCATTAACATAATTTCCTCCCATAGTCCCGTCTCAGTCCGCCCAAGCTACGCCTCCACTGGTGGTCCTTGATGGTCGCTGGGGATGAAGATCTGAGTCTTCCTCATGGTTAAACTCTTGAACTTGTCCTGTGGCGCATGCCCTGTACCACCCTGGGTCTTTTCCAATTCACAGAACTATCTCTTGCTAGCTGCCCTCCCTCTCCCTCCTGCTCAGTCCTTTGTGTTCCTTGAGCCCCACAGCCCTTGAGCCTCCTGATTGGAGGATTCCACCTGCTGTCCTTCATTTGGCTAACTTTGCTTCCTTCTTATCTCTAAAGACTAGTTAGTTAGTCAGCAATGGATACATACTACGCATACTTCATTACAAACTGGGTTTACTCTTTATAACAGGCTATGCATGCATACAATCTACTTTTCCCTGGTTAAAACAAATAGGACATAATATGAGCAGGAAAAGGTCAAATGCAGTACTTTTTGCCCATGAAATGACAGTATCTTCTCATCTATGTCATATATGCAGTACTTTTCGCCCACGACATGACAATATCTTCTCATCTATGTCATGTAATTTATTTGATTATTAAATTACGAGGTTATTAAAAATTGAAAAACTGAAATTAAGTTTTTCAGTACTGACATTTCTTTTTGGAATGTCTCATCTGTGCAGTAAAAACTGGCTCATCAATTTTACTTGTTTAAAGTCACTTTTATTCTCCAGTTCTCATGCATTGGCCCAGACGTGCAAATAATGGGATACAAATACCAAAGCCAAATTAAGTTTGTTAAGCTAAGTTCACTAAACTTAATGAAAGTTAGGAATGTACCAATTGCATCCACATACATTTTCATGTAAAGAAGTCAACAGTGAAGAAATATCAACCATGAGTAACTTAAGCAAACCCTTACAAATTCCAAATGAAAATACTTCTTCTTTTTGCCTGATGTTTTGCTACATTAAGGGAAGGTGAGCAGAAGGTCACATGAAAAAAAGTAAGTTAAAACATTTTTCAAAGAACACTTCAGAAACTGATTCCACAAAGTCTAAAATAAAAAAACTTGACAGCAAGAGCATCCTGATGGTACCACAAAAGCAACAAGTCCTAAAAGCAGAATATGGGTTTCAGGTATATAGCTGCACTAGTCAAAGCGCAAGTCAATAAAGAATTGCCAGTATTTGAACTGCCGGAGTTTACCCCCAATTAAAAAAAGTAAATTCCTTTTAACTACACTTATGGTTCAACACAAAGGCAGCTGGATTTCCAGACATAGATTGGTCAACTGAGGCTATTCCCCAGTTTATAAAAAACTTGACTGGCTTGGATCTAGCTTCCTTAAGTCTTTCTTTCTGAAGGTTATAACTAATGGCACTTTGTACCTGTTAGTCATATGGACTTTCTTCTACATATTATTAGCATATGAGGTTCTCTAGCATGAAGTGCTTCTGGGAAAAAATTGAGAGGTTGGTATAAATTAGCTATGGTTTTGCAATGGAAAAACTCAAACCAGGCTTAAATCATAATAAAATTAATGGGAATCACCATTAAAAAATTCAGAAACTCCTGCTTGCATAACAGCACACTGTCCCTCCTCTACTTACCACAGAGATTAACCTTTACATACACAACTAAAACACAGAAGATAGAAGTTATTTTTGCTTTCACAAAATAAAAATAATTTTGTTCTGCACACTCCCTTGCCTGATGCAACTTACTAAAGAGCATTTGATCTCATTTTAGGCTTGGGCGCTTAACAGGGGTGGTCTACAGGGAGTCACAGAACTTAATGTGGGGGGTTTCCTAAATGTGTCTACTCCTACGCCTGGCTGCTTCTCAAGAAAGGAAGACATGAGACACACAGTAACACTTGCTTTAGTCATAAAGGAAACTGAACATAATACTGCTAACAAAAACACAGCAGTAGTGATCTCTCACTTAAAAAGATAAAGTATGTTATTAACGTAGTATTTCCAGAAGTTATCTAAAAATTATTGTTATCTGCCACTACACAATGCAGATATGATATATGCAATAAGATCTATGTAGATGCACCCTTTGAATGTTCTCACATTATTTAGGCAGTAAACATCAGTTGCTCAGTTGGATGATCTGTCCAAAAAGCAATCTGTATAAAACATTAAAAAATATACAAAACAGTCCCTATGCTATTAATTTTCTTGAGAATGAAGACTACAAAAGTAGTGAAAGAATGACCTTTTATGAATATCAGTATCTTTAAAATTTGGACAGCAGAGCATATAAGAACACATTTTCTCTGAAGATGCTATTTTCCACAGAAGGGAAAATAAGCATGATTAGACTGGCTGCTTCAATTCATAGGGCAAGTTGTGGCTGAGGCAGAGTAGCAAGAACTTGTGAATCGCTGCTGTTATGCACAAATCACTGGCCACACAATAAGGCACTAGAAGTACTACTGGGTTATATAGATAACTACCATTGCAGTCAGTCTGACTCGCTTTTCCTCTGACAGGGCACATCAGGATCCATGTTTCTTTCTGAACTACACAAACATTTTAAACAACTGTTTGTGAAGATCACTAGATCCTTCTCCATGAGACTCATGCTCATTAGCATCTGCTGAGTATGTTCTGCTTGCAATCCCTTTCATCATTTTTCAGTTACATTTAAGTTATTCCTGTGCTGTCCCAGTCTTTCTTTAATTAGATCTTTCTGAAGCTTCTTCTAAACCTTAACATTTTACTCACAATGCAAACAATTTTGTGTTCACAGCACTTTAGCAAATTACTCTGATGGAGCTGGGTGCAGCCACAAAGAAGTATGAAACTACACACAGATCAATGGAAGAGTCAAGATCAGCAGTTCACAAATGCACCAACTATCTTCCAGTGTGGTTCTTCTAAGCACACTGCTAATAATTTTTCTATGATTTTTTTAATTATTAAAAATAATCCATAATTAAATGTATGTATTCATCCAGTGTGCATGTTTTAACCTGATTTCTGCACCCTAAACTCTGAAGCAGTGAAAAACTAGCACACTTGTACAGTACTTTGGCTGAGTGTATACACTTATCTTTCTTGGGACAGTCCCAGAGATATGAGCTATTTCCCGACATGTAAATGAGTTCTATTTTGTTTC